TCTCTCTCTCTCTCTCTCTCTCTCATGCCTTTAAATACATATTAATGGGTTGGCCATTTCTGCTTAAATTAATAGAAACAAAGATGAACGTTGGAAACATTCTCCATTTTGTATTGCTACATAAACCTCTACCTAGGATGGGCAATTTGATGCACATAATTATTTGAAGACTTTAGCTTTTCCCGGAACTTAGAGTTTATCCACAATTCCTGTTTGCCCCATTGCCACAAATGGTTAGACAACTGTTTCTGGAGGGCAGAAATGAATGGTGTCACTTTCTGTTATTCTCCCCACTCATTGCCATCCTCAGGACAGATTTTTAATGTTCCATTTCTAATGTATAATTTCCATGTTTCATCCCTTTGAATATTCCTATATTTTAGTACATTTGAGATTGTATCCTTCTCTTTGTAACAAGCTAACTTCAGCTATTCTTTGGCTGCTTTGTAAAGAAGGAAACCCCTTCATGTGAGTCACTGTTTACGCTGCATTCTCTAACTATAGCTCGTATTTTTACTAGCAATAATGAAAAACAGAGTGGCTACTATGTGTGTGCAGGCTTGAAACCTGGCAGAAATCTATTTTAAAAATTACCATTTTCCTCAGCTAGTTTCTTCCTGGATTTTTGTTTGTTTGTTTAATAGGTGCATATTATTATACTACTTAGTTTTCTTGAGAAAACACAATAATTACTTTATGCACGTGACTATGTATAAATACCATTTAAAATGAGGCAAATGTAGCAAACATCATTCAAATATTACATAATTTGAATGGCCTAAAATTCCTCTTGGGGATGACATAAAGAACATTTTGAGCTTACTGGAGATCTTGATGTAGGTGCTTCATCATGTGCCAACAAGTTGGTGCTGATTCTTAGCAACTGCATAAAAAGATTTTCTCCATATCCTTGCCCTCACCTTCTCCTTATCCATTCATCTGCTCTAGAGAGTAGAATACTGCCATTGAACTGCAGGGACCTCATCTCTTTTAATTTAGGAAAGGAAGAGCAGACAGGAGAAGCAATTCTCACATCTTGGCATGAACTTCTAATAAAGTTAGAAACTTCTAATGAAGTTTAATAAAGAATCTTAATAAAGATGTGGCTTCTTCTTTTAGCGCACAGCCAATACTAACCCTAATCCTTATACTGACCTGGGGACAGAAAGGTTCACCGTGCTTGATAGGAATTATAGAGATTGTGTTTTGATAGAGCAAGCAGTTGAGAAAATGCACCATGATGGGTGATACTTTTATTATTACAGACCTTTGTTGTCATAGTTTCTTCTCCACTATAATTTTGATGTCATTATAAAGAGTCTTTTGGGGAACCTATAACAATAAGACGGGGGGCAGGAGGAGGAGTTGGTCTAGATCAGGGGTAGGCAATCTTGGGTCTTTTATGACTCATGGACTTCAACTCTCAGAATTCTGGGAATTGAAGTCCACTAGACCCCTGGTCTAGTTGGTCAAAGGCCTGGAGACTAAAACATATGAAGAATGGCTGCAAGACTTGGGTTTGGCTAGTCTAAAGAAAAGAAGAAATAGGGGTAACATGATAGCAGTATTCCAGTATTTGAGAGGCTGCCACAAAGAAGAGGGGGTCAAATTATTCTCCAAAGCACCAGAGGGCAGGGCAAGAAACAATAGTTGGAAACTAATCAAAGAGAGAAGCAACCTGAAATTAAGGAGAAACTTCCTAACAGTGAGGACAATTAATCAATGGAACAGCTTGCCTTCAGAAATCGTGGGTGCTCCATCATTGGAGGTTTTTAAGAAGAGACTAGACAGTCACTTGTCTGAGATGGTATAGATTCTCCTGCTTGAGCGGGGGTCTGGACTAGAAGACCTCCAAGGTTCTATTCTATTCTATTCTATTCTATTCTATTCTATTCTATTCTACTCTACTCTACTCTACTCTACTCTACTCTACTCTACTCTACTCTACTCTACTCTACTCTACTCTACTCTACTCCATTCTATGTATATGTTCCATGCTGTTTATTCTCCTTCTTAGTTCTCACCCTCATCCTATTCACAGAAGACAATTAAAGACCCTTGAACTGGATTCTCCTTGAATTGAGCAGAAGAATCCCCAGGACTATTCTGATGCAACTAAAGAGTTGGTGTGGAAAAGAAATCTCCTTTCATGCTTAGAAAGTTTGCTAAATCAAGATCTATGGGCACACATGGGTTACTTGTATGAGACACTTTGCAACCTTTTCCTCACAATATGCCCATTAGGTAAGTTTCCAAATATGTATCCCTTTGAAATGGATTCAGTGCAATTAGTTGAATTCAGATTCAGATTATTCATGCCCACAATTCCTGATCCTGCCACTGAACATGTAGCAGACTGCTTGGATTTGTAAAAGAGGTCAATGACAAAACAATTAGTGTTCAGGCAGATCATCTAGGTTCAGTCCTTGCACCTACGGTTGAAAGTGAGATCCACAGTTTCCAAATTTCCTCCCCACAGTAGCCAGTACGTTTCCCAAGGTAGATGCTACATTTTGTGTGGTTACAAAAACAAAAGATGGGCCACTCTATAAATATTAGCAATTTGTTCTTTTAAATTGTAGCCATCTTTGATTGCTATCTGCTTTGCTGTCAAATAAATTCCACTTTCACTTCAACAGTTGTCCTTTGAAACCCAGCTTGGAATGGACTAGAACAGTGGTTCTCAACCTGTGAGTCGGAACCCCATTTGGGGTCGATCGACCATTTCATGGGGGTCGCCAAGCAAGGCTGTCCGCCATTTTTTTTTACCGCCATTTCTTTTGTCCGCCATTTTTTTTGTCCGCCATTTTTTCCCCTTTTCCAGCGGGTGCCTTACCTCCCTTGGGCTGGGCCAGCTGGTGGTCGGCTTGCTCCGTCTCTGCCGCTTGCCAGATACGCCTCGGCCGGCGCAGGGGGCGGAACCACGCATGCGCGGCGCTCCCGGGCAGGGAAAGTCCTCGACTTACGACCGGTTGGGTAGTCCTCGACTTACGACCGGTTTAGTCCTCGGCTTACGACCGGTTTAGTCCTCGACTTACGACCGGTTTAGTCCTCGACTTACGACCGATTGGGGTCACGGCATTAAAAAGGTTGCGAACCACTGGACTAGAATTTCTTGTAGCAATTTTTTTAAAAGCAACTTCTGATCTTTGCAGAAGTTGCAAACATAGCAATTACCATCTCCACTCTGCAAAATTGCATAGCATAGTTCCCTCCCTCCCATAAACCAACCTTTTTAATCAA